AAGGGGGCTGAATGCACCCCATGAAGCCTGCACCTCTTTGCAAGGGTCTTGCATGCACCCCAAAAAGCTTGCAGCCCTCTGACAGGGGTCTGTGCGCACCCCAAAAAGCCTGCATCCATTTGTAAGGGGTTTGCATGCACCCCAGAGAGTCTGCAACCCTTTGTAAGGGGGTTTCATGCACCCCAAAAAGCTTGCATCCATTTGTAAGGGGCTTGCACGCACCCCAAAGAGCCTGCCCCTATTTGCAAGGGGGTTGCATGCACCCCAAAAAGCCTGCACCCCTTTGCAAGGGGGCTGCGTGCACCCCAAAAAGCCCGCATCCGTTTGCAAAGGATTTTCATGCACCCCAAAAAGCTTGCAGCCCTTTGCAAGGGGGCTGAATGCACCCCATGGGGCCTGCACCCATTTACAAGGTGCTTGCATGCACCCCAAAAAGCCTGCACCCCTTTGCAAGGGGGCTACATGCACCCCAAAAAGCTTGAAGCCCTCTGACAGGGGGCTGCATGCACCCCAATACCCTGCAACCCTTTGCAAGGGGGCTGCATGCACCCCAAAGAACCTGCATCCATTTGCAAGGGGGTTGAACGCACCCAAAAAGCTTGCATCCATCTGAAAGGGTTTCATGCACCCCAAAGAGCCTGCCCCTATTTGCAAGGGGGCTGCGCACACCCCAAAAAGCTTGCATCCGTTTGCAAGGGGGGGTTCATGCACCCCAAAAAGCCTGCACCCCTTTGCAAGGGGTTTGCATGCACCCCAAAGAGCCTGCCCCTATTTGTAAGGGGGCTGCATGCACCCCAAAAAGCTTGCATCCCTTTGCAAGGGGCTTCATGCACCCCAAAGAGTGTGCACTCATTTACAAGGGGTTTGCATGCACCCCAAAAAGCCTGCACCCCTTCGCAAGGGGGCTGCGTGCACCCCAAAAAGCCCGCATCCGTTTGCAAAGGATTTTCATGCACCCCAAAAAGCTTGCAGCCCTTTGCAAGGGGGCTGCGTGCACCCCAAAGAGTGTGCACTCATTTGCAAGGGGTTCTCATGCACCCCAAAGAGCCTGCCCCTATTTGTAAGGGGCTGCATGCACCCCAAAAAGCTTGCAGCCCTTTGCAAGGGGGCTGAATGCACCCCATGAAGCCTGCACCTCTTTGCAAGGGTCTTGCATGCACCCCAAAAAGCTTGCAGCCCTCTGACAGGGGTCTGTGCGCACCCCAAAAAGCCTGCATCCATTTGTAAGGGGTTTGCATGCACCCCAGAGAGTCTGCAACCCTTTGTAAGGGGGTTTCATGCACCCCAAAAAGCTTGCATCCATTTGTAAGGGGCTTGCACGCACCCCAAAGAGCCTGCCCCTATTTGCAAGGGGGTTGCATGCACCCCAAAAAGCCTGCACCCCTTTGCAAGGGGGCTGCGTGCACCCCAAAAAGCCCGCATCCGTTTGCAAAGGATTTTCATGCACCCCAAAAAGCTTGCAGCCCTTTGCAAGGGGGCTGAATGCACCCCATGGGGCCTGCACCCATTTACAAGGTGCTTGCATGCACCCCAAAAAGCCTGCACCCCTTTGCAAGGGGGCTACATGCACCCCAAAAAGCTTGAAGCCCTCTGACAGGGGGCTGCATGCACCCCAATACCCTGCAACCCTTTGCAAGGGGGCTGCATGCACCCCAAAGAACCTGCATCCATTTGCAAGGGGGTTGAACGCACCCCAAAAAGCTTGCATCCATCTGAAAGGGTTTTCATGCACCCCAAAGAGCCTGCCCCTATTTGCAAGGGGGCTGCGCACACCCCAAAAAGCTTGCATCCGTTTGCAAGGGGGGGTTCATGCACCCCAAAAAGCCTGCACCCCTTTGCAAGGGGTTTGCATGCACCCCAAAGAGCCTGCCCCTATTTGTAAGGGGGCTGCATGCACCCCAAAAAGCTTGCATCCCTTTGCAAGGGGCTTCATGCACCCCAAAGAGTGTGCACTCATTTACAAGGGGTTTGCATGCACCCCAAAAAGCCTGCACCCCTTCGCAAGGGGGCTGCGTGCACCCCAAAAAGCCCGCATCCGTTTGCAAAGGATTTTCATGCACCCCAAAAAGTTTGCAGCCCTTTGCAAGGGGGTTGTGTGCACCCCAAAGAGTGTGCACTCATTTGCAAGGGGTTCTCATGCACCCCAAAAAGTCTGCACCCCTTTGCAAAGGGTTTGCATGTACCCCAAAGAGCCTGCCCCTATTTGTAAGGGGGCTGCATGCACCCCAAAAAGTCTGCATCCCTTTGCAAGGGGGCTGCATGCACCTCAAAAAGCTTGCATTCATTTATAAGAGGTTTTCATTTCAGGCATCCCAAAAAGCCTGCAACCCTTTGCAAGGGGCTTCATGCACCCCAAAAAGCCTGCACCCATTTATGAGGGGTTTGCATGCACCCCAATACCCTGCACCCATTTGCAAGGGGCTTGCATGCACCCCAATAGGCTGCACCCCTTTGCAAGGGGGCTACGTGCACCCCAAAAAGCTTGCATCCATTTGCAAGGGGCTTCATGCACCCCCAAAAGTTTGCACCCCTTTGTAAGGGGGCTACATGCACCCCACGGAGCCTGCGCCCATTTACAAGGGGCTTGCATGCACCCCAAAAAGCCTGCCACTATTTGCAAGGGGGCTGCGCACACCCCAAAAAGCCTGCACCCATCCGCAAGGGGCTTGCACGCACCCCGGGGAGCCTGCACCCTCGTGCAAAGGGCACACGCACCCCCCCCACTGTGCCCCCTCGCCTGCTGAGCGTGCAGCCTCGTGCGAGGGGCACAAGCACGCCCGTGAGCACACCCTGGTGCAAAGGACCCCCCCCAGCACACACGCCTGTAAGTGTGCAAGCCGTGAGCTCACACCCTCGTGCTAGGGGCTTGCACGCCCCCCCCCCCGTGAACACGCTTGCGCAAAGGGCTCTGTGCAAGGCCCGTGCAAGGGCACACGCGCACCTCTCGTGAGCACCGCGCCGCCGGTGCCCAGCTGCCACGCTTGTGCAAGGGCAGCCTCGTGCAAGGCGCCTTGTGCAAATGCCCCGTGCCAGGGGAAGGCGTGTGCCAGGCCTGGGAGAGGCAGCTCTTGTGCAAGGCTTCGTGCAAAGGGCACGCGCAGCTGCTGTGGGAAGGTGCGTGGTCCCCCTGGGGGGGCACAGCCCCGTGCAAGCACACGCAGCCCCGTGCAAACACACTCGTGCCGTGCACGGTGAGCACACAGCCCCGTGCAAACACGCTCCTGTGTGCAAACCCACGCTCAGCCCTCGTGCAAATGAGCTTCCGTGCAAGCTTGTGCTCTTGTGCATCGCCCGCAGTGCTGCGCGAGCGTGCACAGCCCCGTGCAAGCCCCCTCCCGCGTGCAAGTGCACACCCAGCCCTCGTGCCAGCACATTTCCGTGTGAGCACACAGCGAGTGCAAGCACTGCCCACGGCTTTGCACGAGCACACCCAGTCCCCGTGCAAGCCCGACCCCACGTGCAAGTGCACACCCAGCCCCACACAGGCACACGGTGCGGTGTGATCACGCACAAACCCACGTGCAAATGCACGCCCACGCACATCCAGCCCTTCTGCTAGCAGAGTCCTGGCTGCAAACGCACACCCAGCCCCCGTGCAAGAACATGTCCACGTGCAAGTGCACTCAGCCCTTGCACAAGCACTCTCCCACGTATGAACGCACCGAGCCCTTGCACAAGCACGTTCCCACACGCAAGTGAACCCAGCCCTTGCACAAGCACCGCCCCATGTACGCATGCCCCCAGCCCTTGCACAAGCACGTTTCCACTTGCACAAGCGCACCAAGCCCTTGCACACTCTCCCACGTACCCATGCACCTACCCCTTGCACAAGCGTGCACCCCCATGCCCAAACGCGCCATCCCTTGCACAATCACATTCCCCCATGCACGTGCACCTATCCTTGCACAAGCACACCCCCGTGCACCCACCCTTGCACAAGCACATTCCCCCATGCAATTACACCCACCCCTTGCACAAGCACACCCCCATGCACCCACCCTTGCACAAGCACACCCCCAAGGCAGCCGTGCCCAGCCCTGCTTGGTGCAACCCCTCGCACGCCCCGGCACACGCACGCACCCTCCTGGCCGCGGGCGATGCTGCCGAAGCCCCCCAGGCCCTCGCGGCCCAGGAAGTCCCCGAAGACGTTGGGGAAGGGGTCGCCGCCGACCTGCGTGGATTCCTCCACCCGCACCTCCCGCTTGGTCTCGCCGCCGCGCGTCTTGCTGATCTCGGTGCGCTCGGTGCGCGTGTACGTGTGGCTGCTCCGCGTGAAGGTGCGCGTCAGGCGCTCCTGCGCCGACACCATCTGGAACCAGTTCCCTGCGGCACCGCCGCCGCCGCCACCACCGCGCCGGGAGGGCACGGGGACACCGAGACGGGGACAGGGACACCGGGACACCAAGACGGGGACGGGGACACCGGGACACCGAGATGGACGGGGATGGGGACACCAACATGGGCATGGGGACACCGACACCGAGATGGGGACACCAGGACACCGAGACGGGGACAGGGACGGGGACACCAACATGGGCACGGGACACCAAGACGGGGACACCAACACCGAGACGGGGACACCAACGTGGGCACAGGGACACCAACACCAAGACGGGGACACCAACACGGGCACGGGGACATCAACACCAAGACGGGGACACCAACACGGGGACGGGGACGAGGACACCAACATGGGCACGGGGACATGGGGATGGGGATGGGGACACCAACATGGGGCCGGGGACACCAACACCGAGACAGGGACACCAACACGGGGACGGGGACGGGGACACCAATATGGGCACGGGGTCACCGACACGGGGACAGTGGGACATGGGAAGACATGAGGACACACGGACACGTGCGTGGATGGATGGATGGATGGATGGATTGATGGATGGATGGATGGATGGATGGATGGAGGGGTGGGTGGATGGAGGGGTGGGTGGATGGAGGGGTGGGTGGGCACATCAATGGATGGATGGATGGGCAGAAAGATGGATGGATGGATGGACAGACGGACGGACACATCAGTGGATGAGCACATGGACGGAAGGTTGGATGCATGGATAGATGGATGGTGGAAGGGTGGAAACAGGGATGGACGATTGGTGGATGCATGGGTGGATGGATGGACGGATGGACACATCAGTGGATGAGCACATGGAAGGAAGGAAGGAAGGAAGGAAGGAAGGAAGGAAGGAAGGAAGGAAGGAAGGAAGGAAGGAAGGAAGGAAGGAAAGATGGGCACATCAGTGGATAGATGGGTAGAAAGATGGATGGATGATGGATGGATGGGTGGGTGGGTGGAAACATGGATGGATGGACACGTGGATGGATGTATGGTGGATGCATGGATGGATGGATGGATGGATGGAAATATGGATAGAAGGGAAGATGGATGATGGAAGGGTGGAAACGTGGATGGATGATTCAGGGGTGCATGGATGGATGGATGGATGGATGGATGGATGGGCGGGCGAAAACATGGATGGGTGGTGGATGGACATGTGGACAGATGGGTGGGTGGATGGATGGATGGATGGATGCATGCATGGATGAGTGGAAATATGGACAGAAGGATGGATGGACGGACGGACGGACGGATGGACGGACACATCAGTGGATGAGCACATGGATGGATGCATGGATGGATGGATGGTGGAAGGGTGGAAACAGGGATGGATGATTGATGGATGCATGGATGGAAGGATGAAAGGATGGATGGATGGATGGATGGACAGACGGACGGATGGACACGTGGATGGATGTATGATGGATGCATGGGTGGATGGATGCATGGATGAGTGAAAATATGGACAGAAGGATGGACGGACGGACGGACGGACGGATGGATGGATGGATGGAGAGGTGCACAGAAGGATGGAGACACGGACGGATGTGTGGATGGATGGTTACACAGTTGGAGGAGGGTGTGCAGGGACGGACGGACACGGACGGACGCACGGACGGGCCGGTACACGACGGTGACAGGCACGGACACATGGACATGTGGGTGGGGGGCACGGACAGACGGACAAACCCGGAGGGACGCAGGCACGGAGGGGCACGGGCACACGCGGACGGACACGGGGACGGACGAGGAGAGAAGGAAGAAGGCGGCGGAGATCAGAGCCGGAGCGGCCGAGACGCGTCCCTGTCCCTGCCCTGCCCCTGTCCTGTCCCTCTCCTTGCCCTGTCCCTGCCCTGTCCTTGTCCTGTCCCTGTCCCCGTCCCCGCCGCGGAGGCGCAGGAGCAGGAAGAGGAGAAGGAGAAGGAGGAGGAGGAGGAGGAGGAGGAGGAGGAGGAGGAGGAGGAGGAGGAAGGCGCGTGCCCTACCTGGGATCTTGAGGTTGAGGTCGCAGGTGCTGCCGATGGTGGCGATGGAGGGGGCCTGGCGCCGGCGCGTGATGCTCTCCTTCATGCGCCCCTCGCCCGTCACCTTCACCGTGAAGGGGCTCCCTGTTTTTGGGGGGGGACACGGCCACCAGCTCAGCACACCCACCCCGGCCACCCCCCCATGGGACCGTGCCGGCCCCCACCCCGTCCCCGTGCCCACCTGGGACGTGTTTGTCGGCGAATTTGATGTTGATGATGTAGTTGCCGGGCTCGGTGGGGCAGTAGGTGACCTTGCAGGTGCCATCCTCCACGTCCTCGCAGTTGATGTCCACCTTGCTGGGACCCTCGATGGACAGGCCCAGCCCGCCGTAGCCTGGGCAGAGCGGGGACGCGTTTGGGGACATCCCCCAACGTGGATGTGGGGGTGACAAGGCCACCAGCCCATGCTGGCCACGGCCGTGCCACCACCACGGCCACCAGCCCATCCCAACACAGTCACAGCTATGGCCACCACCCCAAGTTGACCTTGGCCATGCCATGGCCATCATCCAACCCGTTCTGGCCATGACCACGTCATCACCATGGTCTCCATCCCATTTTGGTTGCCCTTGGCCATGCCATGGCCACCATCCAACCTATCCTGGCCACGACCATGCCATCACCATGGCCTTCATCCCTTGGCCATGCCATGGCCACCACCCATCCCATCCTGACCATGACCACGCCATCACCATGGTCTCCATCCCATTTTGGTTGCCCTTGGCCATGGCATGGCCATCATCCAACCCGTTCTGGTCATGACCATGCCATCACCATGGCCTCCATCCCTTGGCCATGCCATGACCACCACCCATCCCATCCTGCTCGTGACCACGTCATCACCACGGTCTCCATCCCATTTTGGTTGCCCTTGGCCATGCCACGGCCACCACCCATCCCATCCCGACCATGACCACGCCACCACCACGGCCACCACCCATCCCATCCTGACCATGACCACGCCACCACCATGGCCTTCATCCCTTGGCCATGCCATGGCCACCACCCATCCCATCCTGGCCATGACCACGTCATCACCATGGTCTCCATCCCATGTTGGTTGCCCTTGGCCATGCCATGGCCATCATCCAACCTGTTCTGGTCATGACCATGCCACCACCATGGTCTCCATCCCCTGGCCATGCCATGGCCACCACCGATCCCATCCTGACCATGACCACGCCACCACCATGGCCTTCATCCCTTGGCCATGCCATGGCCACCACCCATCCCAACCTGGCCATGACCACGTCATCACCATGGTCTCCATCCCATTTTGGTTGCCCTTGGCCATGCCATGGCCATCATCCAACCCATTCTGGTCATGACCATGCCACCACCATGGTCTCCATCCCTTGGCCATGCCATGGCCACCACCCATCCCATCCTGGCCATGACCACGTCATCACCATGGTCTCCATCCCATGTTGGTTGCCCCTGACCATGCCATGGCCACCACCCATCCCAACCTGGTCATGACCATGTCATCACCACGGTCTCCATCCCATTTTGGTTGCCCTTGGCCATGCCATGGCCACAACCTATTGTATCCTGACCATGACCATGCCACCACCACGGCCACCACCCATCCCATACTGGCCATGACCACGCCACCACCATGGCCTTCATCCCTTGGCCATGCCATGGCCACCACCCATCCCATGGTGGCCACAGCCACAATTTGCCCTCGGCCACCCCCCCAAGCCAGCCCCAAACCCGTCACCCCAATTCCCCTGCCTCATCCCCGTCCCCGTCCCCACCCGTGGTCTCACCGGCGCTACGCGTGTCCACGATGAACTCGGCCACCTCGAAGGTGTGCCCCTCCACCAGCCCCTTGCCCCACACCTTCACCCGGCTGGCGTCCCCGATCTCCGACTGCCCCACCAGGATCTTGAAGGGGCTGTTGGTGACGTGCTGCCCGCTCTTCTTCACGCTCACCACGTGCTCGCCCACCTCCTTGGGCGTGAAGGAGATGCCTGGGGAGGGGGACGCCACCATCAGCCACCGCCACCCTTGGGTGCCCCCCGTGTCCCCGTGTCCCCACGCACCGATGTGGCGGTTGGGCAGCCTCTTGAGCAGGCAGGGCTCCTCGTTGCCCGAGGGCGCGCGGATGCTGGCGGTCAGCAGGCTCAGGTCGGTCTCCGTGATCTTCAGCGAGACGTCCGTGGAGGTGCCCACGTTCAGCTGGGACGTGCGCATCGAGTCGTCCCCTGCGGAGGTGACGTCAGTGGGGGGGCAAAAAGGGTGGGCAGGACGGGGGTCCCGTGGCTGTGGGTCCATGGCCACGTGAGCGGGGTCCCCAGGAACACGTGGGGATGTGTGGTGGCCATGCGGTGCACCCAACGCCACGTGGTGGGGTCCCCGTGACCACACAGGGTGCCCAAGGCCACGTGGTGGGGTCCCGGTGGGGTCCCCGTGGTCACAACCATGCAGGTGTCCCCATGGGATCCCCCACAGCCATTCAAGGGTCCCCAAGACCACCACCGTTCAGGGGTCCCCATGGCCATGTGGACGGGGTACCCGTGGCAACACCATGGGGTCCTGGTGGCCAGGACTGGACAAGGGACCTGGTGGCCACACGATGGCTCCCAGAGGCCACGCAGAAAGTCCCCGAGACCAGAGGGGACCCCATCAAGGGTCTCCCTGAGCCCCCCACTCACCGGTGATCTTGGCGGTGAAGGGGCTGCCCGGGATGTGCTTGTCGTCGAAGCGGACGATGATGTTGTAGTCCCCGGGGGCCGTGGGCAGGTAGGACACGGTGCAGGTCCCGTCCTTGTTGTCCTTGCAGGTGATCTCTGCCTTGGAAGGACCCTCCACCGCCAGCGAGAGCCCACCTGGGGCAGGGGGTGGGGGTCAGCACCGTGGCGCCCACCACGCTCCCCCAGCCCCACGGTGCCCACCACCACCTCCCAGTTGAGCAGTGATCATCGTGGCCTCCCAAACCCATAGTGGCCACCAGGATCTCCCAACCCCATTGTGCCCATCACGGTCTTCCAACCCTATGGCAGTCGCCGTGATCCCAATGCTCTGACCCATGGTGCCCTTAGGGTCTTCCAACCCAATGGTGGGCACCGCTGTCTTCCAACACAATGATTTTCTAACCCAATGATGACCATTGTGGTCTTCCAACCCTATGGTGCCCATCGTGGTCTTCCAACCCAATGATGGCCATCGTGATCTTCCAACACAACAATGGCCAACATGATTTTCTAACCCAATGGTGCCCATCGTGGTCTTCCAACCCTATGGGAGCCGCCGTGGTCCCAATGCTCTGACCCATGGTGCCCTTAGGGTCTTCCAACCCAACGGTGGGCACCTCTGTCTTTCAACCCAATGATGGCCAACATGATTTTCTAACCCAACAATGACCATCATGGTCTTCCAACCCAATGATGGCCAACGTGACTTTCTAACCCAACGATGACCATCATGGTCTTCCAGTCCAATGGTGCCCCTCATGGTCTTCCAACCCTATGGTGCCCATTGTGGTCTTCTAACCCAATGATGGCCAACGTGATCTTCCAACACAATGATGACCAACATGAATTTCTAGCCCAATGATGACCATCATGGTCTTCCAACCCAACGATGACCATCATGGTCTTCCAACCCAACAGTGCCCATCGTGGTCTTCCAACCCTATGACAGCCTACATAATCTTCCAACCCTATGGTGCCCACCATGCTCTCCCAAACCTACAGTTGCCCCCCCAGTCTTCCAACCCCTTGGTGGCCCCCACGATCTCCCGCCCCCACGCTGCCCATCCCCTCCCAACCCCTCCCACCCCCCTGGGACCCTCACTCACCCTCCCCAGCGTCCTTGGTGACAATGGTGAAGGTGCAGGGCTTGTTGACCATGCCATGGCTCAACCCCGGCCCGTAGGCGCTGACGTGCCGCGGGTTGATGGCGTCCACGTAGAACTGGAGGGGGCTCCCTGGGGACACGGGGACAGTCAGGGACACGGGGCCGATGGCGCCGGGGGTCGGGGTTCGGCCCCCTCCCAGTGCTCCCAGTGCTCCCAGTGCTCACCGGGGATGTGGTTGCCGTCGTAGCGGATGTCCATCTCGTGCAGCCCCTTCTCGGTGGGGGCGTAGCGCACCGTCACCGTCCCGTCCTTGTTGTCCGTGATGTTGGGGCGCGCCGTCTTCCCCGAGGGCATCCGCACCTCGCCTGGGGACGGGACACCGCGTCACCAGGGCGCCTTGGGGACACCACATCGCGCCCCACACCGCGCCCCACACCGCGCCCCACCTCACCCCATACCTGTGATCTCGCCCTTCTGCACGGTGAAGGGGATGACGAGGTTGAAGGGACGAAGGCTCTCGGCGGTGGCGGGGGGCTCCTCGGTGGCCTGGTGCCGTGGGGCAGAGCGGTGTCAGTGCCACAGCCCCCCCACCCCGGGGTGGCCACCACGGCCCCCACTCTGCCCCACGGTGCCCACCACCATCTCCCACCCCCTTGGTGCCCCCTATGCTCCCAGACTTGCCCCATGGTGCTTGTCACGGTGTCCCAACCCCACGGTGCCCACCATGACCCCACGGTGCCCACCACGACCCTACAGTGTCCACCACAACCCTACGGTGCCCACCCCAACCCTATGGTGCCCACCATGACCCTACAGTGCCCACCACGACCCCACTGTTCCCACCATGACCTTATGGTGCCCACCATGACCCCACAGTGCCCACCACGACCCCATGGTGCCCACCATGACCCCACAGTGACCACAACAACCCTACTGTGCCCACCACGATCCCACAGTGCCCACCACAACCCCATTGTGCCCACCACGACCCCATGGTGCCCACCACAACCCCATTGTGCCCACCACGACCCCATGGTGCCCACCATAACCCCACGGTGCCCACCACGACCCTATAGTGCCCACCACGACCCCACGGTGCCCACCATGACCCTACGGTGCCCACCACGACCCCACTGTGCCCACCACCACCCTACAGTGCCCACCACGACCCTACAGTGCCCACCACATCCCCAACTCTTCACCCTAAATCACCCATCCTCACCTCCCAACCCCACAAAGCCCCCCACAAACCCCCCAATCACCCCCAAAACCCTTCCCAAAATCCCCCACCACCACCCCCACCACCACCTACCAGGACGTGGAAGGGGCTGTTGGGGACGTGCTCGCCCCCGAAGCGGATGGTGATGACGTATTTGCCGGGCTCGGGGGCGGTGTAGTAGATGTCGAAGGTGCCGTCGTGGTTCTCCACCACGTCCACGTCCAGCTCGGCCCCGTCGGGCGTCGACACCTTGCAGGTCACCTTGCCCTGCCCGGCCGCTTTGGCGTCCACCGTGATCACCGTCTCCTCTCCGATTTGGATGGTGGGACCCAAGCAGGCACCTATGGGGCAGGGGGGGGGACAGGGGGGACGGGGGGGTGGGACACGGTCACGGGGGGACCCATCCCGGCCACCCACATCCCCACCCCAAGACCCTCGTCACCACCCCCCACCACCCCACCACCACCTTTTGCCCCCCCCCGGCCCCACTTACCCAGTCCGTGGCCCCCAATGGATACTGCAAAGAGAGACGAGGGAAAAGCGGATGAGATGGGGGGGCTGCGGGGGGCTGCGGGGGGCCGGGGGGGGCCGGGGGGCCGGCACGTCCTGCTCTGCTCGGGGGGCACCCGCGGACGCCGTGGGGTTGATGACGGGGGGCAAGGCAGGGAGGGGGTGCCGTGGGGAAGGCGTGGGGCAGCGGAGGGAAGCTGTGGGGCAGGGGGAGGGGGACACCGTGGGTCGGTGTGGGGCAGCATGAGGCGCTGTGGGGCAGGGAAGGGAATCTGTGGGGCAGCGAGGAGAAACTGTGGGGTGGTAGGGGGCAGCACGGGTGCGCCGTGGGGCAGGGTGGGGATGCTGTGGGGCAGGGTGGGGATGCCGTGGGGCAGGGTGTGGATGCCATGGGGCAGCAAAGGGCACAATGGGGCAGCATGGGGATGCTGTGGGGGCAGCCTGGGGGTGCCGTGGGGCAGCACGGGTACGCCGTGGGGCAGCGTGGGGATGCCATGGGGCAGCAGAGGGCACAATGGGACAACGTGGGGATGCTATGGGGCAGGCTGGGGGTGCTGTGGGGCAGCGTGGGGATGCTATGGGGCAGCAGAGGGCACAATGGGGCAGCACGGGGATGCTATGGGGCAGCATGGGGATGCTATGGGGCAGCATAGGGGTGCATGGAAAATCCATGGGGCAGCAAGGAGGTGGCGTGGGGCAGCGCGGGGATGCCATGGGGCAGCACAGGGCACAGTGGGGCAGCAAGGGGACGATGTGGGGCAGCATGGAGGATCTGTGGGGCAGCAAGAGGATGCCATGGGGTGGCACAGGGGTGCTGTGGGGCAGCACGGGGCACAATGGGGCAGCAAGGGGATGCCGTGGGGCGGCACGGGGGTGCCGTGGGGCAGCACAGGGATGCTATGGGGCAGCGCGGCGCACCATGGGGCAGCAAGGGGACGCCGTGGGGCGGCAGGAGGTAGCCATAGGGCAGCGTGGGGATGCCGCGGGGTGGCAGGGGGAAGCCATAGGGCACGCCGTGGGGCACGCCGTGGGGCACGCCGTGGGGCAGGGCCCACCTGTGACGAGGCACTTGCTGGCGTCGCCGGAGGGCACGGCGTGGATGCGGAAGGGCGAGCAGGGGATCTCGTCGCCCCCGTACTTGATGGTGATGGTGTAGCGCCCCGGCAGGTCGGGCACGTAGGACACGGTGTAGGTCCCGTCCCCGTTGTCCCGGATCGCCGCCTTCTTGGGCTGCCCCTCGGGGTCCTGCGGGCACCGCGCAGCTCAGCGCCCCATAGAACGGCTATAGGGAGCTCTATGGGGCTCGGTGCCCCATGGGGTGGCTACAGGGAGCTCTATGGGGCCCATGGGATGGCTATATGGAGCTCTGTGGGGCTCAGTGCCATAGGGGGCCCTATAGAGCTTGGTGCCCCATGGGATGGCCACAGGGAGCTCTATGGGGCCCATGGGATGGCCACAGGGAGCTCTGTGGGGCTCAACGCCTTATGGGATGGCTACAGGGAGCCCTACAGGGCTCAGTGCCCCATGGAATGGCCATAGGGAGCTCTATGGGCTCAGCACCCCATGGGATGGTTATAGGGAGCCCTATGGGGCTGAATGCCCCATGGGATGGCCACAGGGAGCTCTATGGGGCTTAGCACCCCATGGGATGGCTATAGGGAGCTCTATGGGGCTCAGCACCCCATAGAATGGCCACAGGGAACCCTACAGGGCTCAGTGCCCCATGGAACGGCCATAGGGAGCCCTACAGGGCTCACCACCCCATGGGATGGCTATAGGGAGCCCTATGGGTCCCAGCACCCCACAGGACAGCTATATGGAGCCCTATGGGTCCCAGCACCCCATGGGACAGCCATAGGGCGCCCTATGGGTCCCAGCACCCCACGGGACGGCTATAGGGAGCCCTATGGAGCTCAGCACCCCACGGGACGGCCATAGGGAGCCCTGTGGGTCCCAGCACCCCATGGGATGGCCATAGGGAGCCCTATGGGTCCCAGCACCCCATGGGATGGCTATAGGGAGCCCTATGGGTCCCAGCACCCCACAGGACAGCTATATGGAGCCCTATGGGTCCCAGCACCCCATGGGACAGCCATAGGGCGCCCTATGGGTCCCAGCACCCCACGGGACGGCTATAGGGAGCCCTATGGAGCTCAGCACCCCACGGGACGGCCATAGGGAGCCCTGTGGGTCCCAGCACCCCATGGGATGGCCATAGGGAGCCCTATGGGTCCCAGCACCCCATGGGATGGCTATAGGGAGCCCTATGGGTCCCAGCACCCCACAGGACAGCTATATGGAGCCCTATGGGTCCCAGCACCCCATGGGACAGCCATAGGGCGCCCTATGGGTCCCAGCACCCCACGGGACGGCTATAGGGAGCCCTATGGAGCTCAGCACCCCACGGGACGGCCATAGGGAGCCCTGTGGGTCCCAGCACCCCATGGGATGGCCATAGGGAGCCCTATGGGTCCCAGCACCCCATGGGATGGCTATAGGGAGCCCTATGGGTCCCAGCACCCCACAGGACAGCTATAGGGAGCCCTATGGGTCCCAGCACACCATGGGACAGCCATAGGGCGCCCTATGGGTCCCAGCACCCCATGGGATGGCTATAGGGAGCCCTATAGGGCTTGGTGCCCCATGGGACAGCCATAGGGAGCCTATGGGTCCCAGCACCCCACGGGACGGCTATAGGGTACCCTATGGGTCCCAGCACCCCATGGGATGGCCATAGGGAGCCCTATGGGTCCCAGCACCCCATAGAATGGCTATAGGGAGCCCTACAGGGCTCAGTGCCCCATGGGATAGCTATAGGGAGCTCTATGGGGTTTGGTGCCCCATGGGATGGCTATAGGGCGCCCTATGGGTCCCAGCACCCCACGGGATGGCCATAGGGTGCCCTATGGGTCCCAGCACCCCATGGGATGGCTATAGGGAGCCCTATGGGGTTTGGTGCCCCATGGGACGGCTATAGGGCGCCCTATGGGTCCCAGCACCCCACGGGACGGCTATAGGGTACCCTATGGGTCCCAGCACCCCATGGGACGGCTATAGGGCGCCCTATGGGTCCCAGCACCCCATGGGGCGGTAGGAGGCAGGTTGTGGGGCTCACCAGGATCTGCACGGTCAGCAGCCCCTCGCCGGCGTTGCGCGCGTCGATGGTGAACTCCACGGGGAGGCTGGCGGGGATGCCGCTGGCGCTCAGCCCCGGGCCGCTGGCGCGCACCTTGCTGGCATCGTGGGACGGCAGGACCTTGATCTTGAAGGGGCTGCGGGGACACGGGGGGCAGCGGGGTCAGTACGGGGAATGGGGTCGGTGTAGGGCACAGGGTCAATGTGGGGCACGGGGTCAGTGGGGTATGGGGTCAGTGGGGTCAGTATGGGGCACAGAGTCATTGGGTTATGGGGTCAGTGGGGGACACGGGGTCAGCAGGGTCAATATGGGGAACGGGGTCGGTGTAGGGCACAGGGTCATTGGGGGACACAGGGTCAACGCGGGGCACGGGGTCAGCGGGGTCAGCATGGGGAATAGGGTCAGTATAGGGCACAAGGTCAGTTGGAGACACAGGGTCAATGCAGGGCACAGGGTCAATGCGGGGCATGGGGTCAGTGGGGTCAGTATGGGAAATAGGGTCAGGATAGGGCACAGGGTCAGTAGGACACACAGGGTTAATGCGGGGCATGGGGTCATTGGGATATGGGGTCAGTGGGGTCAGTATGGGGCACAAGGTCAGTATAGGGCACAGGATCAATGCAGGGCACAGGGTCAGTGGGTTATGGGGTCAGTGGGGGACACGGGGTCAGCGGGTTCAGTACGGGGAACGGGGTCAGTGTAGGGCACAGGGTCAGCGGGGGACACAGGGTTAATGCGGGGCACAGGGTCAGCAGGGTCAGCATGGGGAATAGGGTCAGTGTAGGGCACAGGGTCAATGTGGGGGACACGGGGTCAGTGGGGTATGGGGTCAGCGGGGTCAGTATGGGGAACAGGGTTAGTATAGGGCACAGGGTCAGTAGGGGACACAGGGTTAATGCGGAGCACGGGGTCATTGGGATATGGGGTCAGTGGGGTCAGTATGGGGAATAGGGTCAGTATAGGGCACAGGGATCAGTGTGGGACACTGGGATCAGTGTGGGGCACAGGGATCAGTGGGGCTGGGGGATCAGTGGGGCAGGGGGCTCAGTGGGGCTGGGCGCTGCCCCTCACCTGCGCGGCACCTCCTGGTCGGCGTACTTGACGGCCACGGTGTAGGGCCCGTCGGTGGCCGGGGTGTAGGTCACCTTGTGGGTGCCGTCCCCATTGTCACGCACCTCCACCGGCTCCGCCAGGCCTGTGGGGAGGGAGATCAGTGGGGCTGGGTCCCCATGGGGCAGGGTTCCCGTGGGGCAGGACATCCTATGGGGCAGGGAACCCTATGGGACAGGGCACCCTATGGAGTACGGCACCCTGTGGGGCACAGGGGACCCCATGGACGAGTCACCCCATGGCACAGGACACCCTATGGGGCAGGACATGCTGTGGGGCAGGCACCCTATGGGGCAGGATACCCCATGGATAAGCCACCCCATGGCACAGGACACCCCATGGCACAGGACACCCTATGGGGCAGGCACCCTATGGGGCAGGGTACCCCACAGATAAGTCACCCCATGGCACAGGACACCCCATGGCACAGGACACCATATGGGGCAGGACATGCTGTGGGGCAGGCACCCTATGGAGAAGTCACCCCACGGAGAAGTCACCCCATGGCACAGGGCACCCTATGGGACAGGCACCCTATGGGGCAGGGTACCCCATGGATAAGCCACCCCATGGCACAGGACACCCTATGGGGCAGGACATGCTGTAGGGCCAGCACCCTATGGGGCAGGGTACCCCATGGACAAGTCACCCCATGGCACAGGACACCCCATGGGGCAGGCACCCTATGGGGCAGGGTACCCCATGGATAAGTCACCCCATGGCACAGGACACCCCATAGCACAGGGCACCCCACGGACACGACCCCCCAGCCCCAACGCACCGGTGGGTCCCAGCAGCGTGACCTCGAGCGGTGCCAGCCCCGCGGCGCTGCAGTCCACGGTGAAGGTTTGGGGCAGGCGGGCGCGGACGCTGGGGCCCAGCCCCGGCCCCGAGCACTTCACCTTGCTGGGATCCACCACGTCCTGCACCGGCACCCGGAACGGGCTCCCTGCGGCACGGCACGGCGCGGCGTCACCAACGGCACGGGGACGGCACGGGGACAATATGGGGACAGGGGGGACAAGGTGGGCATGGGGACTATATGGGGACAGGGGGACAATGTGGGCATGGGGGCAGTTTGGAGATAACGTAGGAACAAGAACATGGGCATGGGGACAATGCAGGGACAACGTGGGCATGGGGACAATTTGGGCACGGTGACAACGTGGGGATAAAATGGGCACGGGGACAAATTGGGGACAGGGAGACCACGGTCAAGGGGACAGCGGGGGGACATGGGCATGGGAAGAACACGGGCACGGGGCCACCATGGGGATGGGGCCACCACGGGCATGGGGACAGCGTGACAACAGGGACGGCACGGCCATGGGGACAGCGCAGCAGAAGACCCCCGGGGAGCCCCCAGCCCCGTCCCTGTCCCCACGCACCGGGGATGGGGTGGCCACCGAAGGTGATGTTGACGTCGTAGTCGCCGGGCGTGAAGGGGATGTACTCCACCGTGCAAGCTCCCGTCCTTGTTGTCCTTGCAGGACATCTTCGCCTCCGAGGGACCCTCGATGGCCAGGCCCAGCCCCCCGGTGCCCGCGCCCCTGGGGACAGTGGTGGCACTCAGGGATGGGGACAAGGATGGGTCCCCAATGGGGGTGGCAGCTCTAGGGCAAGGGGATTGGGGTGGCCATGGTGGGACGGGGATGGAGGTGTCACCTCCATGGCAAGGGGACCAAGGTGACCGTGGTGGTGGAGAAATGAAGGTGACATCATTGTGGTAGGGTGACAAGTGTCACCTCCAGGGCAAGGGGACCGGGGTGACCATGGCAGTAGGGTGAAGAAGGTGCCATCTCCATGGCAAGGGGATTGGGGTGCCCATTGTGGCAAGGAGATGAAGGTGCCACCACCATGGTAGGGTGACAGAGGTGCCACCTCCATGGAAGGGTGACAGAGGTGCCCACGGTGGCACAGGGCTGGGGGTGCCACCTCCATGGCAAGGGGATTGGGGTACCCAAGGTGGGTAGGGTGACAGAGGTGCCACCTCCATGATAGGGTGATGGAGATGCCCATGGTGGCATAGGGCTGGGGGTGTCACCTCCAGGGCAAGGGGACCGGGGTGACCATGGCAGTAGGGTGAAGGAGGTGTCACCCTCCAGGACAAGGGGATTTGGGTGCCCATCGTGGCAAGGAGATGAAGGTGCCACCACCATGGTAGGGTGACAGAGGTGCCACCTCCATGGCAAGGGGGATGGAGGTGGCCATGGTGGTAGAGAAATGAAGGTGCCACCACCATGGTTGGGTGACGGAGGTGCCACCTCCATGGCAAGGGGATTGGTGTACCCATGGTGACAGCGAGCTGAAGGTGCCACCACCATGGTAGGGCGATGGAGACGCCCACGGTGGCATAGGGTGACGGAGGTGCCACCTCCATGGCAAGGGGATGGAGATGCCCATGGTGGCATGGGGTGACGGAGGTGCCACCACCACGTCAAGGTGACTGGAGTGCCCGCGTGACATGGTGCCGGGGGGTCCCACCACCAGGGTGGGGGGGTGCCGGTGCCCACCTGGTCTCCACGGTGAAGCAGTTGGCCGTGCCCACCAAGCCCCCCTCCAGGCCGGGGCCGTGGGCACGCACACGGGTGGGCTCGCAGCCCTCGGCCACGGCCACGCGGAAGGGGCTGAGCGGCACCGCCACGTCCTTGTAGGTCACCTCCACGTGGTGCACGCCTGCGGGGGGCAAACGTCACCCCGGGGCCAGCGGGGGGTTTGGGGGGGTCCTAGGGGGTGGTGGTGGGGGTCCTTCATTGGGGAGAGTGGGGGGAGTCACAGGTTGCAGGGGGTTTGGGGAGGGTCTCATGTTGGAGTTGGGGGGGCCCTCAATAAGGGTTTGGGGGGGCCCTGGATGGGGTTTTGGGGAGGGGGTTCCTTGTTGGGGAGGTTTTTGGGGGGTCCCACATTGGAGGAGGTGGGGGCTCCACTGGGGGATTTGGGGGGATTTGGGCAAGGGAAGGGGGTCTCTGGCTGTTTTTTGGGGGAGGATCCCACATGGGGGAGTCTTTGGGGGGTCCCTGGTTGGGGTTTTTTTAGGGAGTCCCTCATTGGAAGAGTTGGGGGGGGGGCTCCAAACAGTGGGGTTGGGGGCCCCTGGGCAAGGATATGGGGGTCCATGGTTGTTTTATTCTGGGAGGGGTCCCTCAGTGGGACTGCCCCTGGTTGGGGTTTTTAGGGGATCCCTCATGGGGGGCTTTTGGGAGGGGATCATCCCTGGCTGGGGGGCGTGGGAGTCCCAGGTTGGGGTCCCAAATTGGGGGCATTTGGGAGGTTCCAGATTGGGATTTGGGGCAGAAGGGGGGGTTCCCAGTGGGCTATGGGGTCCGTGGGGTCCCTCACCGTCCTCGTAGGGGTGTAGTCCACGCGGTAGGTGCCGTCGCCGTGGTCGGTGATGTAGGTTTCGGTTTTGGCACCCGAGGGGTTCAGCACCCGGGCCTTGACGTGGGGCCCCCCGGTTTTGGTGAGCGCCCGCGCGTCCACCGTGAAGTCGGTGCTGACCTCCCGCAGCACCCCTGCGTGTGGGGGCGGCGTCAGGATGGGGGTGACCCCAAGGGGGGGGGGGCGTGGGGAGGAGGGTGACAATTGGGGTGCCCATGGGGAGCGGGTGCACAACAGGGTGCCCATGGGGAGAAGGTGCCAATTGGGGTGCTCATTGGGGTGCCCATGGGGAGATGTTCTTTGGGGTGCCCATGGGGAGAAGGTGCACAGTGGGGTGCCCATTGGGGTGCCCATGGGGAGACAAGGCCCAATGGGGTGCACAATGGAGAGGAGGCATCTTTTGGGTGCCCCCTGAGGGGGAGATGTCAATTGGGGTGCCCATAGGGAGTGGGCACACATTGGGGTTCCCATGGGGAAATGTTCTTTGGGGTGCCCCTTGGGGTGCCCACGGGGGTGCCCATGGGGAGGAGGCGTCCATGGGGAGGAGAAGCCCACGGAAAGGAGGTGCCAATGGGGTTGGGGTGCCCATGGGGATGCGCAATGGGATGGAACACCCATGGGGATGTCCACAAAAATGCCCCATAGGATGGGCTGTCCTTGGGGATGCCCATCAGGAAGGGGATGCCCATGGGGAAGGAGATGCCCATGAAGATTCCCAGTAGGATGGAAAACCCATGGAGATGCCCACGGGGAAGGGATGCCCACGGGGACACCCAATGGGATGGGACACCCATGGAGATGCCCATGGGGAAGGAGATGCCCATGGGGACACCCAACGGGATGGGACACCCATGGAGATGCCCATGGGGAAGGAGATGCCCATGGGGACACCCAATGGGATGGGACACCCATGGAGATGCCCACGGGAAGGAGATGCCCATAGGGACACCCAACGGGATGGGACACCCATGGAGATGCCATGGGGAAGGAGATGCCCATGGGGACACCCAATGGGATGGGACACCCATGGAGATGCCCATGGGGAAGGAGATGCCCATGGGGACACCCAATGGGATGTGACACCCATGGAGATGCCCATGGGGAAGGAGATGCCCATGGGGACACCCAACGGGATGGGACACCCATGGAGATGCCCATGGGGAAGGGGATGCCCATGGGGACACCCAATGGGATGGGACACCCATGGAGATGCCCATGGGGTAAAAATTGCCCTTGAGGATGTCCACAAAGATACCCATGGGATGGGATGCCCATGGGGATGCCCATCAAGATGCCCATGAGGAGGGGACACCCATGGGGACGGAGGTACCCCACGGGGACACCCACTTGGAGGAGGCACCCCTGGGGTGCCCCGTGCTCACCCCACACCCAACCCACCCTCGTGCCGCCCTCACCTCGGGGCTCCACGCCCTTGCCGTAGACCTTGACGCCGCTGGTGTCGATGGCGGGGTCGACGGTGACGCGGACGGGGAATTTGGGCACGGGGTGCCCGCCGTACTTGATGGTGATGGTGTAGGAACCGGGGCAGGCGGGGGTGTAGGTGATGGCGTAGGTGCCGTCCCGATTGTTCTGGATCAGCACCTCCGCCTTCACCCCCGAATCCGAAATGATCTCGATGGTGAGCTCGGCGTCGCCCGCCTTGGAGCAGTCCACCAGGAAGGTGGCCGCCTCGCCGGCTTTGCCGCGCTCCAGCCCGGGCCCGCTGGCCGTCACCTTACTGGGGTCGAAAACGGGACGGACGTCGGCCTTGAAGGGGCTGCCGGGGATGTGGCGCTCGGCGAAGAGGATGTTGATGGAGTACTCGCCGGGCTCCGTGGGCAGGTAGGACACCGAGCACGAGCCGTCGCCGTTGTCCTGGCACTCGATTTTGGCCTCGCAAGGGCCCTCCACCGTCAGCCCCAAACCCCCGTGCCGGCCCCTTTGGTGTCGATGGTGAAGGGGGCCGGTGCCCACCAGGCCGCCCTGAAGACCCGGACCGTAGGCGCTCACCTGTAAGGGTGGGGGGTGTCGGGGGGTTAGAGGGGTTGGGGGGCGTTGGATGGATAGGGGGACATTGGGGAGATGAAAAGGGATGGGGGATGTTTGGAGAGGTCGGGGGGCATTGGATGGGTTGGGGGACGTTTGGAGGGGTCGGGGGACGATGGGGACATGGGAAGGGTGGGGGATTTTGGAGGGGACGGGGGGGCCAGCTGGGTGGGCACGAGGGGGTGCAAGCAGGGAGCGTGCACCATGAGTGTGCACAACAAGAGCGCACGAGCAAGGGGCATGAAACAGAGGTGTGCAAGGAAGGAGCGTGCAACAAGCGTGTGCAAGGAAGAAGTGCACAAGAGAGCATGAGCAAGGGGCGCAAAACAAACGTGTGCAAGGAAGGAGTGTGCACCACGAGTGTGCACAACATGAGCGCACGAGCAAGGGGCACAAAACAGAGGTGTGCAAGGAAGGAGCGTGCAACAAGCGCGTGCAAGCAGGAGCACACTGAGTGTGAGCAAGGAAGATGCAAGTGTGAGCCGGGAGCGTGCAACAAGCACGTGTGCAAGCGGGGAGTGTGCAACAAGGGCATGGAGCAACGAGAGCACACGATGAAGGCGTGCACAACGAGAGCGTGCACCACGAGCGTGCAAAGAAGAAGCGCACAACAGGAGCGCACGAGCAAGGGGCACGAAACAGAGGTGTGCAAGGAAGAAGCGTGCACCAAGCGTGTGCAAGGAAGAAGTGCACAACAAGAGAGCACGAGCAAGGGGCGCAAAATGGATGTGTGCAAAAAGGAGCGTGCAACAAGCATGCGCAAGGAAGAAGTGCACAAGAGAGCACGAGCAAGGGGCGCAAAAGAAGTGTGCAAGGAAGGAGCGTGCACCACGAGTGCACAACAAGAGCGCACGAGCAAGGGGCACGAAACAGAGGTGTGCAAGGAAGGAGCGTGCAACAAGCGCGTGCAAGCAGGGAGCACACTGAGTGTGAGCAAGGAAGATGCAAGTGTGAGCCGGGAGCGTGCAACAAGCCGTGTGCAAGCGGGGAGTGTGCAACAAGGCATGGAGCAACGAGAG